AGCCCCCAAACTCTCTCCTAACCTCCAGCATCACATCTTCTATTGCCTAGAGGAAATATTGAACTGGATATCCGAAGACATCTACTCAACATGTCCAAAACTGAGCTTAGAATTTTTTCCCTCAAAATCCTCTCCTTTTTCTATCTTTCCTATAATTGTCAAGGGCACCACCATCTTCCCAGTTTCCTAGGCTCACAATTTAGGCATCATCTTCCACTCCTTGCTCTCTCAATCTCTCTCTCTCTCTCTCTCTCTCTCTCTCTCTCTCTCTCTCTCTCCCATATTTGATTCATTAGAAAGTTCCAATTTTACCTTCATAAACTCTCTCCCATACGTTCCCTTCTCTCCTCTGACACTGCTACCACCCTAGTACAGGCCCTTGATACCTCCAGCCTGGAGTATTGCAACATCCTTAGAGTTGGTCTCCCTGCCTCAAGTCTCTCTTGACTCAGTCTGCCCTCCACTCATCTATCAAACTGATCTTCCTAAAGCACCGGTCTGACCACATCCCTCTCCTACTCAATAAACTCAAGGGGGTTCCAGGATCAAATTTAATATCCTATTTGGCTTCTGAACCCTTTTGGATTGGCCCTTTCCTGTCTTTCTAGCCTTCTTAAACCTTGTTCCCCACCACACTTTACAATTCAGGGACAATGACCTTGATGCTTGTCACACATTCTATCTCCCAACTTTGAATGTGTTTACTGGCTCCCCCCCATGTCTGGAATACCCTCCTTCTTCATCTCTGGATTCTGGCTTCCTTCAAGTCCCAGCTAAAATCCCTCCTTCTACAAGAAACCTTTCCAGATCCCTGTCATGCCAGTGCCTTCCCTTGGAGGTTATCTCCAATTTAGCTCCTCCATAATTTAGTGGTACATAGTTGTTTGCATGTTGTCTCCCCCCTTAGACTGGGAGCTCCTTGAGAGCAGGGATTATATTTTGCCTTTCTTTGGATCTCCAGGCACATAGTAGGTACTTGATAAATGCTTGTTGACTGACTAATCACCATCTGTAAAATCACGTTTAACTAGAAGGTCTTTTAATGTCCCTTTCAGATCCAAATCTATTATTTTATGACTTAGACTATCACCCTTCCAGAGGTGTTGAAAGGTTTAATGAGAATTGCAGGAAACACTTTCTGAGTCTTAATGGGCTATGGGAATACCTTTTATTATTAATAAGGTAAGAATAGCACCAGGCCTCTTAATTACAGATTTCTAAATCTAGCATTCTTCAGTTTATTCTAGAATTCACTGGTCGGGGCAGCGTGGCAGAGGAAGTGATTTACTCCTGTGGTCTGTACCCAGGCCCTGGTCTTCACCTCTCCATCTGGAGGAACTTCAACTTCTGCCCTCAGTAAGCTAGGGAGTTTATTTTGGCTGTTGCCTTTTCTCTCCCAAACCCAAGAGACCTGAAAAGATGATGCTCAGTTGCACAACTATAAACCAAAGACTTGAAAGGAATGGCAGGCCAGCTGGTAGACCTCTGTGGAGTGGGGGCATGGAGATGATTTTAATTAGCCTTGGATGTTTGAGAGGCAGAATATTATTCAAGGATTACCTGAGAAATAGTTCTAGGACATACTCCCAATCCCTTTGCCTCTTTCTGCCAGGGTCCCTGAACCACTGATGCATCCATTACTAGCAAGCCAGCAATCAATAATTGGGAATTGATCTGTAGCATTTTTAAAACATCACCCCTGCCCCCAGATTCAACACTAAAATAAGGTCCCCGGCAGCAGTTTGCAGGTGCGGCGTCTGTCCACTGTTGCCTTTGGAACACTGGAGAGCTGGTAGACATTTCCTCATTTGGTTGCTCATATTTCTCTTGCCATGCCATTCTCTTGTATGTGAGGGGGCACAAGCATTCCCAAATGGGGAGTCCTCCCTCCCTTCCAAATACCTCCCTCCTATACACACACATACACACACATGCATGCATGCATGCACATAAGCACACACTCACACATACCTCAAAGCACCAATGAATGTGGTAACAGACCTGTTTTGACAGCTACTTAGAAGGAGGCAGTTTGACATTGTGGTTAGAGTGCTGGGCTTAGAGGCAGCTCAGATTCTGCCTCTGACACTGACTAGCTTTATTCCCATGTGCCTCAATTTCTTTGTCTATAAAATGGGGGTAATTATAACTTCAGTTTCTGCCTGCCAGTGTCATTGTGACATTCAAGTAAGAAAATGTGCCAACTTTAATGTATACTCTAAATGTAAATTATTATCATCTATAATAATAGATTTATAACATATAGAATAATAATAGATAGAATGATAGTCAACCTTATGTGACCTTAGACAAGTCATGTCTCTTTGGTGGGACTCTGTTTCTTCATCCATAAAATGAGGTAGTTGGATCTGGCATTTAAAATCCCTTCTCTCCCAAAAGGACATAATTACATGATCAGAGACCAGCCCTGTCTTTTGGAGAGAGGAATGCCTCCAGGTAAGGCAGGATAGAATCCCACAAGGTTCCCTACCTGATTTAGTCTCGTGACTTGAGTCTTGGACACTGGCTAAGTTGTTTAAATGACAATCTGTCCCTTTGTTCAAAATAGGCAATTGCATACCTAGGGGTCTGAAATAATAATTTGAAACTAGCCCAGCTCACTGGGTGTCAGTGTTCAGGTTAACAGGACCAAAACAACAGCAGGTGAAAAGAAAGATGGCCCTTGGGGTGAAGACAAGTAGAGAACCTATCTATCATCAGTCAAAATAGGTCATATTGAGATTTTCTTGATACATTTTTTTTCAAAGATAGGACCCTATGATTCATTTTATTTGTTATTTCAGGGGATAGTAAGTTTTCTGAGGAGCAATACTTTCAACCTGGTTGACTTTGGGCAAGCCACCTAACCTCCATGGACCTGGATTTCTTCATCTGCACCAGGAGGAGATCGGATCAGATGGCCTCTTAGGAACCTTGGAAGGAAAGAAGCAATTGTGAGAGGCTTTGGCAAATGCCTGGCTGAAATTCAGCGTGCAATATGAGCAGGTAAGAACTCCCTTTTCTACGGAGCCTTAAGGTTTGCAAAAAACTTTCATCATGTGAGGTTATTAGGAGAAATCTTTTTGTGACCTCCACTTCATAGATAGGTGACCTGAAACTCTGAGAGGCACAATTCTTGCCCATGGTCATCCAGCTGGTAAATTTCCCAGCAAATGCCCCAACTTCAAGGCTCATACACTCAGAGCCATAGATGTCTGTGTACCTGGAACAAATTTGGTTGGAGGGAGGGACAGCACTATAGAGCATGGTCTGATGGGGAAGGAGGGAGGTGGGGCAAAGGATCATGGACCAGGAGCGGGCGGGACCTCAGAAGCCAGCTAATCCAACCCCCTCACTTTACAGATGAGGAAAGTGAGACTTAAGTAGGTAAAGTGACTGACCCAAGATCCCACAGGAAGCAAACATCAAAGTCAAGATTTGAACTCAGGTTCTCCGACTTCAGAGGAACTGCTTTTTCCATTGTCCTACATCTTTTCCCAAAACCGTAGAGAGTACATCCCATCACATAGGGGGCCCCATTGGGATGGTTGTGGCCCAGACCTCCCTCCTGAGGATCAGTGAGAAGAAGGTATGCCTCTTCCATGGAGGATGCCTTCCCCTGGAGAGAAATATGCCTTACCTGGTTTCACAAAGTCCCTTTTGCCCCGGGTTAGTTATAACTCCAAATGTTCTTTCTACCACCCAAATAGAGGCATCAGAAAGGACTTCAGCAATGAAAACAAATGCAGGTAGGTTGGGTGAAAAAATGAATGACACGGAGGAGGAGCTGAGGGTGAACATTTATTTTTACTTGGGGGAAAAAATGCTGCCGATCATCACATCCATTTTGGCACTTGCAAGCAGACAACCAGTAGTGTTTACACTGCAAATGTGACAGTTCACAATTCCTAGAAAAACGTACAGAGTGAGGGTGGGCGGGGAAATTTTCACAGCAAAAACAATAATAATAATAATAATTAATAATAATAATTTTTGAACAAAATTAAAAGTCCACGCAGAAGCACAAATACCAAGTGGGAACGGGAAGAGTGGCACCAGGATTCCACACTAGACCCAAAAGACAGATGGAGGAAGGCAGGAAAAATGAAGGGAAAAAAGGGAGGAAAAATCTCTGAGCACCCCTAAGCCAGAAGTGCTGTAATTAAGTGGGTTTCAAATTTAGCCTTGTAATTAGCAATCAAATTGCAACCCAAGAAAAGTCAGAGAATAAATTACGTAGCAAAGCTTTACTCAAATTAGAGTGAAAGATCTTCCTAATGCTTGTTGCCAAATGGCAACACAAAAGCCTTAGCATGCCACCCACCAGGGCTACTAGTTTGTAGACCTGCCTGGATAATGTCTGCTACTTTGCCCTTGACTCTGAAAACAGGGTTATGGACAATCCAGTAGCCCCTGGCCTCCAGAAATCCTTCCAGAAAAAAAGCCAAAACAAAACAACACTTCTAGGTGGGTGAGTGGTGGTAAGGAAAGGAGGCTCTGAGCCTAGCCAGCTAATATTTCTGAGAAACACACCAAAATTGTGTATAGTATTTGGAGAAAGTGACCCAGGGACCCCATTCATACTAACTTGAGAAGGAAGATAGGAATGGGCTAATTCTGGCCTCAGAATAGCCTTTTCCTCTCTGGTACTTCGGAGTGGGCTCTCCAGATGTAGAGAATCCAGTAGGTGCTCTCCAAATAAAGATGGAAGACAGACCCACTTTCATGTTAGGATGGAGAGGGAGAGCTCATATACAGAGTATATAAGATGTCTCCTCAGCATCTTCCTTTCTCTTTGTGATTGGGGGTAGGGAGGGAGGGAAGGAAGGAAGGAAAGTCCTTGAACAAGACATGGCCTCCTGGTTTCACTCAAAAACCATTGGAGTTGACTAAAAAGGTGGGGGGGTGGAACGGCATATACAATGATTTTAATACTTTAAGTAATTACATCTACTCTAAAAATTACAATCCTGTTGTATCTGGTTTCTGCTCTGTGTCTCTTATTGCTGAGAAATGGGAGGTTCATCTTTAGCTTTCTCTGCTTCCTTCAAGGCATTAATTACTGGTAACCACGGTGAAGGCAGTTCAGGAATAGTTTTCTTGGCTTGAGTTAAGTGGTTAATAGCCGTGTAGAGACTTCCTCGGGGTCCTGCTTCCTGCTCAGAATAATACATCTCTAGAGCTGCAGGAGTACAGTGCTTGTGCTGAGAGAGAGAGAAGAGGTTGGTTGTCAACTCATGAAGAAGTAAAAACAATTCAGAGTCATGGAATTTCAGAGCTAGAAGGGGCTTCAGAGGACATTAGCCCGGCCCAGCCCTGAACAGCAACACTCACTGCAACAGTCCTGATGAATGGTCATTCAGCTTCCAATCTAAAACCTTCAGAAATGTAGAACTCACTACCTAGCAAGGAAGTCCATTCCATTTAGGGACAACTCTCATTGTTAGGGGCCAAGCCGCAAGCCTAAGATGTTTAATATCAGTCCTTCAAATATTTAAAAAATAGCAGGATTGTCACCCCTAAGTCTTCTCTGGGCTAAGACTCTCTAGATCCTTTGCTGTCATAGTTACCCTTCTCTCATCATACTTCAGTATGTCAGTGTCTTCCCTAAAATTTGATACCCAAAATGGAATACAACATTCTAGGTGTGATTCAGTGGGGGCAGATCACTACTTCCTCTGCACTGAACATTATACCTGTATTAAATAGCCCAAGACTACATTAATTCCTTTGGCTGCCATGACACACTATTGACTGATAGTAAGTTGGCAATTCATTAAAATCCTCCAGGTCTTTTCTTATGGACCATCATCTAGCCATATTTCTCTTGTCCAATACCTGTATGGTTGGTTTTTTGAACACAGGTTAGGACTTTACATTTATCCCTATTACATTTCATCTTTCTAAGTGACATGATTCATTTTCTTGATCCTTGTCACTGAAAAAAAAAGTGTAAAACAGAACTTGGCCAAGAATAAGTCCAGTTGATATTAACCGGAACCACTGGAAAATAAAGGCTTACCTTTGGACTTAGACACAATAGAACCTAGAGACTTCACCTTACTGAAGGGATAAGAGTAATATGAATGGCTCTAATTTCTTTGGAACACACCCCATTCTATTCCTTACCTTCTGATACCTGTATCAAAGGTATTAGTAATCAACTCACCCAAAACCTGGTCCCTGGAAAAATGTATTTGCTCACTTCTTTGGTCCTATGGGGGGCTCTTACTAATAGATATTTAACCCTTGTTCATACTGAGTTGAGTCCAGGCAGTTTAAAAATAATTTACTGGTCTTATTTATTTTTACTTCCTGTGTATCTACTAAGAAAAGGGTAGGTTAATAAAACATCTGTGTAAGTTGGTTAATTTGTGTTCCTTTTGATTTAGCGTTCCTCTCTACCTTCTTGCCAGGCATCCTTGGTCCTTCCTGACTCCATCTACCCACCAAAAGTAGCATGACCTACAAACCACTCCACTGCCTCAGAGAGGAATTGACACTTTTTTCTGAGTGGGTCTACTTAGACAATGTCCTACTTTGGGATGACAGATTTCTGGCCACTTTAGGGTTAAGTGTGATCCCACTTAACTTAGTTGCAAATTATCTGATGCCTCTGAGTCTCACCTTTAAGTCTGAATTTGGAAGGAAAAAAAGGTCTAAAACTCAATTTCATGTGGATTCCATCCATCTCTCTTAAGATATTTTTTTAAAAAAAAAAACCCAGCATGGATTAGTTGCAAACTGATGCACATTCATCTTGTCAGCCTTTGATTCAAGATGGGATTTATTATTCCCTAGTATGATACTGAAATGTTCAAACCATACTTTCCTTAACCTTTATTTCATAAAGTCTACATAAAAAGACTGACTCTGAAGAACTTAACTGTCACATCATTCCAGCATAGTACCAAAAGGTGGCTGGAATTTTGTAGGAAAACTGACACGGTCAATTTACTTCACTGGCAAAGCTGACCCATCAGCCTTGAAGGCATAAGTGGAGTTTGCATGGGTAGAAAAGTGAGACCAAATGGCCAAGCCTACATGCCAGCCTCCAAGACAGAGCACCTGAAATTGATAACTGAGGCAGAGGGGTGGGGGTTGTCTAGTCTGGAATGATTAGTAATAACTCATATTTGTATAACACTTTACAGATTCCATAACTCATTGGGCCTTCCTGGTACAGTCATCATAATTAATGTTCTTATTGAGAGATAAGTCTGAGACTCAGAGACCCTAACTAGCCTAAAATAACACATTAGTAAATGTCATCATGACTTGACCCCAGGTCTTCTGACTCTGCATCTGCCAGTGATCTCTTAGTTGCCAAATTTGGTGGGGATTTTTCAGGTCTAATCCTTCTCCACAAATCATTTGACGTTAATGACCAACTACTTTGGAAAAACTCTCACCTCTCTGGGGATTCATGGCATCTCTCTCTCCTTGTATGACTCTCCTTATCTGTATGACTTTCTGTCTCAGCCTCCTTTGCTGGATCCTCCACATTGGGCTTCCCTAAGGGTTTTTTCTTCTTTCTATACTTTCCCTCTCTCTCTTTCTCTCCCTCTCTCTCTCCCTCTCCCCCCCCTCTCTCTCCCTCCCCATCAGCTCCCATATTTTTAACTCTCATCTCTAAGCACATGATTCTCAGATTCATATATCCAACCTCAGTCTTTCTCCTGATCTTCTGTCACAGATCACCGGTTACCCATTGGCCATTTCATATTGGATTTTTCTCCCCAGTGTTTGGCATCTAGTGAGTGTTTTTATAAATTCTTGTTGATTAATTGATATGTGGGAATATAATGACAAAAAATATACAGGTAGGAAGGCCAAGGGAATGTTCAGGGCAGAGTAGTCCAGTGCCTATGAAATGGGGCAACATGGGCTAATGTTGGCAAGGTAGGAGGCACTACATGATGGTAAAGTGGCATTTTTGCATACCAGACAAAGAAGGTTGAACTTTAGTTAGAAGCCATTGAAGGTGTTTTGAGTACAGGCATGAAGGATTTAGATCTATACATAAAGAAGATTCTGGCAGGTTAAAGGATGATTTGGGGGTGAGGGTAATACGCTAAAAGTGGGAAAACCAATGAACAAAGTAATAGTTTAGAGGAGGGTAGTAATAAGGCCCAGTACAGGATGGTGACATAGAGATGTAGGACTAGAGATGGAAGAATAGACGGGAGAAATGTCTCAGAGTAGAATGGACAAGGCTTGGTAACTGACTAGATATGGCCAGTGATGGAGAGGAGAGACTCAGGTACAAGTTGTATGATTCAAACATTCAGTACTGAATGGCAGAGAGAGTGAAATCAGGGGAAAGAACAGTTTAGACCATGGGTTCCTATACCATTTTTAGGTGTCACTGATCCTTGTGGCAGTCCAGTGAAGCTTACAAACTCTCAGAATAATGTTTTTAAATGTATAAAATAAAATACATAGCAGAAAAACAATTTTTTAAAAATACAGTAATCTTTTTTTAAAAAAAAAAAAAAAAGGCCATAGACCCCAGGTTAAAGACTCTTGGTTTAAAGGGAAAGATAATAAACTAAATTCTTGAAGGGTTGCATTTGACAGGCCAGTAGAACTCCAAGGTGGAGGTTTCCTATAGTTAAGAACATTAAAACTATGGGTTTGGCTGGGATGGCCTTGAGGGTGTCTTCCAGCCCTAATACTGAATCCACCACCCACAACACTGAGGGACCTACTGTGGTTTATGTCAGGAAGCCTAATAATGCTATGAGGGTTATAGCTCAGAAGCTAATCTTCAACTATAAATTAATACCTGGATTGCCTTAAGAACTTTGGAATTGATTGTGTGACGTGGGAGACACTGGCATAGGGCCGCTCAGCCTGGTGAGCCCTCATCAGAGAAGGTGCTGTACTCTATGAGCAAAGCAGAATTGAAGCAACTCAAAAGAAGCATGAGATGTGCAAATTTAGAGAATCCACCCCAAATGTTCACATGGACTATTTGTACTTGACCTGTGGTGGAGCATTCTAAGCTCATGTTGGTTTGATCATTCATTATCATAATGTCAGAGATGACAATGTTAGAGATTGAGATGAACTGGACCATTGCCATAACAGACCCTTCCAGTCTACATAGTATATATTTAACCTTTTGATAAAACTAGTAGCATATAAACTAAATTAATAAAATATACATACTATTAGGTCCTTGTGACTTTTATACTACATAAGCAATATGTAGTACTTCTTAAATATATAGTATTAATAAAACATTTATTTATGTGTGGTTCTAGGAGGAGACCGGCTAGAATAAGCCTGGAGATAAGGAACAGCAATAGAAAACCAGTGATTAGCTCAGAGACTGGTGGAGCTATCTCCATGCACCAGTCAGCTATCTTGGGAAATGGGAGCTGTGACCCAACATTTGGAGAGGTTTGGTCTTGAAATTCTGGAACATTGGTTTATGAGAGGTTTATAAGACTCATGCAAAGAGAACCCCCTACCCAACCTAGCTTGCTGGTTCTAAATCAAATATTAGAAATGCCCTTTACAGGGCAAGTAGGTGCACCGTGGATTGAACACCTGCCCTGGAATCAGAAGGACCTGAGTTCAGATCCAGCCTAGTTGTCTGACCATGGGCAAACCACTTAACCCCAGTTTTCTCCCTCCCAAAATGCCCTTTACCTCATTAAAGCTTTGATTCCACACAGTGTTGAGGGGAGGAAGGAAAATGTAAAGATCAGCTAAGAGACAGGAAGATTAGCACTGACATTTTGATAATGAATTTTAAATATTGCCTTCTTGAAGAACTCCCCAGGTTAGATTGATCCAAAGCAGTTGGTTTGATTCTCTTACATGAGTGCAGGGGCACAGATACAATGAGTACTGAAAGGTGGTACTTAAGTGAAGGGAAGGGAATTAACATTTATTAAGTGCCTACTATATGCTCCAGGCACAATGCTAAGTGCTTTACAAATATCTCATTTGATTCTCACAACTACCCTGCAAGGTAGCTGTTATTATCCCCATTTTACAGTTGAGGAAAACAGTGGCAATCAGTGGTCAAGTGACTTACCCAGGGTTACACAAGCTTTAAGTATCTGAGGTCACATTTGAACTCAGATCTTCCTGACTTCTTGGCCCAGCACTCTCTCCAGTGAGTCACCCAGCTGCTCAAGGGAAGAAGGTTCTTGGGCTGATTTATCAGCTTCACTTAGACTGTGACAAT